TTTACCACTTTTTGAAGCTATTCAATGTTTTGATCCAAGGTATATTCATTCTCAAATAGAAAGAACTAACATTTTATTATATTCTATTATACCTGAATTTAAAATTCCAAATTTAAATTTAATTCAAGAATGGGGAATTTATAGTAATCTTAATGAAATAATTAATTCAGAGGAGGATTTTGATTTAGAAAATTATTGGATAGAAAAAAAAAATATTTTACCAACATTAGCTAATATAGCATTAATTTATATTTGGCTTCCAGTTTCAGGTGTAGATGTTGAACGTAGTTTTTCTATTTACAAAAATATTTTAAGTGATAGGAGATATCAATTATCTAAAGAATCTATTATTATGTTAAATTTTATTTCGTTTAATAGTAAAAATTAATAGAATATAATTAGATGGATAGGTCTTATAATTGTTATAAATAAAGTTTTCGGTATATTAAATAAATCCTTTTTTTAAATTATAAATTAATTTAATAATTTTGGCCAAAATTATAAACGCATAATTTAGCATAATTTATTTTATTACGCATGCATAATTTGGTATTTACGCAGCATAATCCTGGACACTCTATGATCAGCCAATAATATTTTTATCGATTTTGTGTTACATAGCGTGTCTATCAAATAGTTAATAAAAAAATTACATTTAATCGAAACATATTTTTTTAAAATATAAATTTTCTTCATTAATCTAATGCTTTGGTTTTAAATGACATAATGCTTTAATAATACCACGTGACTGTGTGACACTTATTGACGTAATTCGTACCACCTGACGACCTCATAAATTATGTCATAAAAATACTTTATTTTTTTTAAAAAAAAAAATAAACAAAAAAAAATTAATTTTTTTTTTTTTAAAGTTGTTGCTAAAAAAATAAATTTTTTTTCGCGTTCTCCTCTCTCGAAAATGAAAATTTGGACAGAGCCATCAACTGGTCAAAATTTATACTTGCTGAAGGTCTTTAAACCGTCTTACCTTGGTTACTTCAAATATCGTAGCAAAACAGTATACGTATGAAAAATCACCTTTTGTTTTTTTTTTTTTGTTTTCAATTTATTCACAATTAAATTGCTTATTCTACATATTTTTACTTGAGCAAAGGGTACTTTCAAGTATTATTAAAGAAGTCGTAAATAATGCAATGGTACGTGCCGAATAGTGTATGAAGAGATATTATAGCACATTTATTGACATGTTTAGAGCTGGAAAAGGTTTTTTTTGAGGCTGCTGACTTCCAAAAATGGATCGGCTATGTACCTTTCTCAAAAAGTTAAACTTGGTTTAGTTCTGTACACGCAATCGTTTGTGTTCCCCTCTTTTTCTGGCTTCAAAAGGATTGATAGCAAGTATGCATTTGTGTTCCCTGACTGAGATTAAAGAGGTCTAAAAGCAAAGTGCTTATTCTATGCTGATAGAGGTCAATAGCAAGTGTACATCTTGTAACCCGCGGATGGAGACTAATAGCAAGTATGCATTTTGTTATTTCGAATGATGCAATGCAAGTTAGCATTAATACACTTCATTATCTTCAAGAATGCAAATTCAAGTGAGTCCTTGCATTACCATCAAGAATGCTAAATACAAGTGAGCTCTTGTCTATACCATTCAAGAATGCTAGATGTAAGTGTGCACTTGTACCATCTAGTAGGCTAGCAAAGTGTTTATTTGTGTTCCCTCTTGAAACATTGGGCAAAATGTGCATTTGTGTTCCCTCTTGACGCCTTGCAATGGGTATATTTGTGTTCCCCTCTGAGGTTGAAGTTGGCCTAAGAGCAAAGTATATTTGTGTTTCCCTCTTGAGGTTGGATTGGAGGCCTGAGAGCAAGTGTTGTGCTAAATATAACTTCTGCAAATTACTTCTTACTAGTATTTATTTTGGTCGTACTATACTTACTAACTTTCATTTTAGAATGAAAAACGTACCCACAAATTGAAAAAAGGTTGGACCGGCCTAAAAATCTTTAACCCTAACTGCAGAATTTATTGATTCATTGCATGTTGTTGACACTTTTACAAAAGCTTCTTACTTTAGAAACAGAAACCGCTGATAAAAAGATCATATAGTAGATATATCAAAATAAACAATGGTATTCTTCGTATTTAAATAATAATATATATGGTTATTTATTACTGTTGTGGAATTTTTTTATTAGCTTTATTTTCTTTTTTTTCTTTTTCATTCTTTATTAGTACTCTTATATATTAGTTTTGGGCTCGAGTACAATAGATTAAATCAGAAAATTAAAATAAATTAATTTAATTAAGAATAGGGATATACTGTATTTATTGAAATTAAAAAAATATTAAAAATTTAAAATTAAAAAATATTTTTTTAAAAAAATTAAATTTTAGAACCCGTGATTATAAATAAAAAAATTTTTTTTTAAAAAATCGCGGTTAAAAGTTCAAAATAAAAATAATTAATAAAAAAAAATTAAACATTTCTCAGCGATTTTTTTAATTTTTAATATCCGCAATTTATTTTGTTAGAATTAAAAAAAGAATACTTCTGAAAAAAAAATAATAAATTAAGAAAAATCAATTAAAAATAACATTAGAAAAGAAAATTAGAAAAATTATGAAATGATTTATATGAATATGATGTATCACATATAAAGAGTGTAGATTTTTTTTTTTATTTAATAAATAAGAAGACAAAATTTTCTTGGTTATAATATGATTTAAAATAAAATCCCTTATAATAAAACTAAATATAAAAAAAAATAAACATAATCAAAAACATTAAATTAAATCGCATAAAAAATTTTTATATTAAACAATCAAATTAAAAAAATAATTAATTAAAAATTCATTTAATAATATATAACTCGTAATTGTAGTAATTTATATTTTATTTAAATAATTAAAATTTTATTTTTTAAATACTTTTTTTAAATATAATTTTTCTGTTTTCTTAATTTTGTATATTATTTATATGTTAACGTTAACTTTTTTTTTTTTTAATTTTTATTTTAAATAATTTTAATTTTTTAATTTTTAAAATTTTTTTATTAGTGCGATTTTTTTTATTGTAATTAATTTATTAATTATTATTTCGAACTTATTCTTTTTTTAATTCCAACTTTTTTTTTAATTTTTAATATTCGCAATTTTTTTAATTATTTTAGTTTTTAACTTTGAATTATCTTTTCTTAATTTTCTAATCCGCGAGTTTTTTAATTTAATTTAATTTTTAATAACTGCAGGAGATTTTTTTTATACAGATTTAGCTACGCCACAAATTTACGTGAAATAATAGATGTCAGTAAAAGATTAATAAAATTACTTCATTTATCAAAGAAAGTTTACTAGACTTAATGATATTATTGAGGTCAATGTGAATAGGAAATCACTAGCGAGGAACTGCCGGCAATAATTACAATCGTTTCCATGACTTTTAGAAAAAATGAGTAAACTAAATGTTGTTGAACTAATATTGATGATGGTCTAAGACATCAGTTTTGGAAACAGTTTAGTGTAAAAAGGATATGGTCCACTAGAAACAAATTGAGCAAGGTTGTTGATAAAATAAAATTTTCGCGTGAAAGAAAGTAAAGACGATTTTGCAGATTGGTTAGAAATGATAAAAAACAAAAAAGTAGATTTTAGTTCCTCATAAAATCGATTATATTCGATTAATCAAAATCGAAAATCGAATCTTAGAATCAAATCTTGAGAAACGATAATCGCGATTAAATCGATTCTTAATCGATTCTAAATATCGAAATCGATTCCAATCCCTAAAAATGCGCCATATGCTGAGCATTAATTATATGGGTCAGGACTAACAAAATGGACCTAAAATTTTTTTTTGATTTACAGTATTAAAATAGATCGATTAACATCGATTTCGATTTGATTTTTGATTTTTCGATTTTATTAGAATCGATTCCAATCCTTATTTCGGGTGATATAAAACTAAAAGTTTCATCTTTATTATAAATCGTAAGAGATAAAAAAATGGCTGCAATATTTTTTTTTAAAGAAAAAATCTCGTATTTATTTTTTCACATGCAAAAAATTAAATACCAATTTAGAAATGAAATTCAATTGTGATAAATCATGGGGGGCAAAGGATATCCAAAACGAAATGCGCATTTCGGCATTTGGGCTAAATGCAATTGCTGTTCAGTCTAATTTTCATTGAATTATTACTTTTATTTACTAATTAAGGTTTTGCAAAAAATCATTCAAAAATTGTACGTCTGTCTAAAACAAAATAAAATTCTTCAAGGGAAGTGTCATTAAACCAAAGCAAAAAATTTTATTATATGGGGGGTAAGCTATTAAAATCACGTTACGGATCATATGATTTACTATGTTCGTAACTCGATTTTAATAGCAAACCTCTCAATATACAAAAAATAAATCAAGTACCGTCCTTAAACTTTTTTTTTTATTAGTTTATTAATTAAAAAATAAAAAATTATAATAATGTAGTTAACATCTTCGGGTTTCGTTAGATAAAGTTTTTATTTATTTTGTTCAGTATTAAAATATTTTCTCCGCATTGTTTTCAGCCTCAAAATATTGCGGTTTTTCAAAAAAGTAGCTAAAATTCATTTTATTAACAGCATTATTCCAGAAGCAAATTGAATTATACAAAATTTGAAATAATAATTATTCCTCTATTCGGATATTTCACGTCAAAAAATACATTAGCAATTTATGCACCATATATTATATTTTATGACACCTTTAGATTTTTAGTAACACAGCAAAGCCTTATTTGAATTTGTCCAAGTTTATCCATTTCGGATTTTTTACGTTTGGTAAGTGCTTTTCTTTCTCTATGCAAAACTGCCTTTTCATTTTGATATATTTAAAATTTTCATCTGTCATACATATGCTTTAGCGAAAAATGATCAATGTTTGTAATGTTTGTGAAATCGTTAACGTTAATATACAATCAGATTTAAGATAAAATATGAAATATAAACTAGAAATATTAGTCTAAACTACTAACTTAATATTATTTGTTAATTTTAAATGTAACCAATAATAAGATTTTATAAAAAATAATTTAATTTGAATATAAAAAATAAAGAATATAACAATTTATTAGATAAACAAATAAAATGATTATCTTTTGTTAAAGAATCTTTAAGTAAAATACTTTTTACATAAAACTTAATTAATATTTATAAATATATTATATATATAATAAGGTATTTCTTATAAAGAAAGTATGTATAGCGAGACATAATTCTTGACTTATAATTTTTGCTCAGCGTAAAGCAGGGCGTGTAGTACTCATAAATCTCTTCAAATATGCTCTATTTTTAAAGAATATACAAAGAGGAGAATATTAGTATTAAAGAAATTTCTCCGCCATCCTCTTCCATTGAAGTTTTCAACGCTAATAGAACCGTTTTCAGCCTCTTCAAATGAAATATCGCGTTTTTTTTATAAAAGTAGATAAAATCATTCTATTACTTCATTATCCTCGACTACCGACATTATAGATTAAGAAGCAATTGAGTAATTCAAAATTTGAAATAAATATGTTAACAATAAGCTAACCTATTTCTTTATTATATAATGTAATTACATTAGGATTCAATTGTCATTCACAAATAAAAATGCACCTTCAGCAAACTAGCGTAAGAAATCCCCAAATAAAGTTCATATATCATAAATCTCATATTTGGTTGGAGGGGTCCCGTAACTTGATTTTAATAACTTACTATTTTAGTCGATCCCGAAAAAAAATAAAGTTTTTCTATTTATGGTGTTTAATACAATTCGCAAATTTACAAATTTATTTTTATCTTGTCAAACAAAAGGTTTTTGTTAGATTATCCACAAATTTTGAACAATAGCTAAAACATCACGAATATTAACGTACTCAATAATATATTATAAAAAATAGAAGAAAATAAATATAACCTTTACCTCCCGTATAAAAAATGTGAATTGTGTAACATGTAATTTCATTAGATCGAAGAAACATACCCGTAACCAATTTCCTTTTTTGGCTTAGAATCAATTTTTAACTTTGTCACCGAAACAGCCAATATACAGTATATGACATACCATCTTAGCAGTTGACACTCCCGTATGTAATACAATCGGGCTTGCATGACCGGTTGGCTTTGTTTTTAATTTTTTTTTTTTCGATTACTTATTATTTATTTTTTAGGTTTGTCTTTCGGTATCACGATAGAGGATCGGCTTAGGCTGTGGATTGGGTAGGTTGATGATTTTTTTTTTTTTTTTTTTTTTTTTTTTTTTTTTAGGTTGATTAATAAATTACCAGATATTACTATTAATTCACAGATGCTTTCGTATTTGAGTTGGGGAGCAGCGCGGCGGGTTATTGCTAGTTTTCTTATAAAAAAAAAAAAAAAAAAAATTGCCTCTTCCAAACTCATTAGTTCCAAAAATGGTTATAATGTACGGTAAACTTCAAATCATTAATAAACGAATGGTTAATTTATATCATTATTATCCATTTTAATCATTATTATTTATTTTTTATTATTAATGAGGGGTCAGCATTTTGTGGTAACCCAACGTTTGGCGTAAAGATTGTAATTGTAGTTTGCATGTTGATTGATGCATTAATTTTCTATTTAAAATTATCCAAACGAACGTTCGTTTGACAGATAAGAAGTAAAGTTGTAAAATTGCGAAGGTATGAAACACCATAAATAGAAAAACTTTAATTATTTTTTTTTTGTTTTTCAGACTTTAGTGAGGCTGCACAAAGCATGAAACATGACGCCAATAATGACTTACTATAATTGTGTTGAACCTTAATGAAATAGACAAGTTGCTTTAATAAATCATCAATTTCTGAAATCAATTTACGTTCCTGATTCTGTAAATCGTAAGACCTCCTGAATAACTATTTAAACAAACGATTTTTTACGTTTCTAACTCACTCACTCTCTTCCTTTTGTAATTATTTTCGAAAATGAGAATCAAGAGAGAATGGATAGACTCATCTAGTGGCGAAAACCTATTACCAAATCTTGAATATTGGCTAAAGATAAATAAACCAACTTATCTTAGTTACTTAAAACATCGTAACAGAACAGAACAGGTATGGAAATTTGCTTTTGTTTCAACTTATTGTATACGCTCTGAACAAAATTAAAATCGCTTGTTCAATTCACCAAATTTTTCTGGCGGAATGTAGGCGTTCAATAAAGAAAAAGTGTACTCTCAATACGTAAAAGAATTAGAAGTACTTAAAGCAAGTTATACAACTGGATACTACTCGGGGATTTTTAAAAGGGCCTTAGAAAACGCAAGGGTATGTGCCGAATACTGAAGACAATTTAAGTCAGCACAAGCAATCATTTGGGAGGTTTGCTATTTAAAACACATTACGGATCATATGATTTAATATATTCGTAACTCGATTTTAATAGAAAACCTCCCATTTATGTTTCCTTCTGAATAGAATTGTTGTGATAAAATAATTCTTCTAAATGTATCTTCTGCAAATTAATTTTACTATTCTTTTTTGGCCATACTATAACTAACCTTTCATTTTTAGATACAAAAAACATCCCCACAAGTTGCAAGATTTTTTGAATCAAAGGTTATTATTGATGATGAAGACGAACAAAGTATCGTTGAGGAGATTTCGGTAATTATATGTAGTTATTAATGCATTGTATGAGATAATTATCTATATATCTGATTGTTAACACATTTACAGAATCTTTCTATATTAGAAACAGAAACCCCAGGTGAATCTTCCGAAAAGAATCGTGAAATAGAAGACGATCAAATGGTAGCAGTAAGTATGTGCATTCTTCTTGTAAAATGTACAAAATAGGGAATGTATTTATAGTATTATTTCTATAGGACCTGTCACTACAAGATTTGTTTGGATCCGAATTTCACTGTTCTGACAATATGATGTCGATCTGTCAATACCACAATGAAATCTGCCCAAATGATCCTCTGATTGATTTGAGGCCCAATTCAAATTTTACAAAACAACTCCCTTCAAACATTCTTGCGATTTATCTTAAAGATCTCGATGATAGGATTAATAGTTTGATTCCATCGAACATCCACGACTTTTTAACGAAATTTTTCAAACAGAATTTAGCGGACGGTGATTGGAATGATAAGATCGATGACCTACAATGTTCAGATAAAACTGATCATTTAATGGTTTCAACTATACGAATCTTACGCAGGACCTTACCAATTTTGTAAGTACAAACATTTTCCCTACAAATTATTGAATTAGTTACGGCATCTACTTAACTTTTTATAGTATTATGGCATTTTCACTAGGACCAAATAATCCTCTTTTGAATTTGGCTGCATTAGAAAGACCACATTTAAATGCATTTGTGCACCCATGTCTGCAGGCTAGCTTATGGTACATCTCATCTATAATTTACGAGTTTGGAGAGATAACCACGAAAAACCATAAACGAGAATATGCAGATGGTGTAGGATATTTAAATAATGCAGACAAATATCAATTGGTTTATATGGAAGGTTCAAGGCCATATGCCAGAGATGATAAAGAAATAGCAGATGCTTTGAAAATCTCCAAAAACCTACAAAAAATTTTTATAAACGTATTCAAAGATAGCGCAAAGTGTAGAAGGCGACTACCCAAAAACCTTGCCATTTTTGGTGGTCAAAGTTTTCGACTTCGAATACATTTACAGTTTATGGATTACTGTGGTATTTATTTATTATTGTCTGTGTTATTTACTCATTATATTTTGACTAATGATAATTCTAATCTTAGGAGGAAAATTCCGTCTTAATGAAGTAGATAACGCCAATCTACCGCGCGACTTTACAGAGATGAAGGAGTTCGTATTTTTTTACGAATGTATTATAAAGTGGGCCGTAAGTATTCTTTTTATTGCAATATATGACTTTACATTAACATATTAATATTAAATTACGAATTTAGTTGCTAGTTCGGGAGATCAACGAAGCTTTTGAAGAATCACAAACGAGACCGTCAAGGCTTTCTTACATTAATGCACTGAAAGTAGCGGACGCTCTATAATTAAAGATGGACATTTTTTCAGCACTCATCCCATATGTTGAAAATCTTATTGAATTCTAATTTGCTTGAAACTTTATTTTTTCTAGATTTTAGAAATGCGTTTCAACAAACGTTAAAAACTCAGTTTCGATCTTAAATTGGAATTGGACATTAACAATAACAAAATGGTATTTAATGATGCTTACTCACAAATTTCTCTCGAATTCCACTTTTATGTTGGAAAACTTTAAAGTTAAACTGATTCTCAAAGATTTAAAGTTATTAGTGGGTATATTGTTAAATAATATTTTGAAGCTTAGGGCAATTTAAAAGTATAATAACGATCATATAATTCCATTGACTATAATTTAAGAATCCTTTCTAAGTTTCACGTTTTCTATGAAAAAAAAGATGTTTAGAAGCTATAATAAAAATGGACTAAGCATTATTCAAATACCACAAATTATCGACTTTACTTTCTCATTCACATGTTCCTATTTCTAGTGTCCTTAATCAATCACCCTATATATAGAACTATCATTTGATTATACTTAAAAAATTTGATTTTATAATTTTACGTCTAAAATTTAATATATTTATATAAAAACTTTTGATCGAGTTTATAGCATAAAATTGTACGAATTTTTTTCGAAACATGATGCGCTGTTCAGTATGATTTTTTGTTAAAGTATTTTCAACAGTTTAAGAATAAAATCTTTTATTTTTATTAAACTTGCAAATAAATTTTTCATTACGCATTGATAATTCTAAAATGAATTGAACTCATCAAATAAATGATTAAATTCAAATATAGATCCTTATTTTCATATCTAAATGATGCTATAAACTGGTCCTCAATAATTAGTTTGATTCGTCAATTGCAACATGTATTTAATATAAAACTATATTATGTATTATGACAATAAAAATTAAATCGTTTCAAGTGGGATAATGATTAATGGCTCTATGTTATTTGGCCTTTAATTCGTTAAAATCGATAAATTTTATTAAAAGCTCTAATCTTTTGGCAACTTTGATGGCCAGGGATATGATCATTATTAATTTGCTTAAAATTATCTGTTATATGGTTGGCACTTCGTATTCTGGGTTGCAAAGAGTGTTTTATTTTAATAAGAGCTGCAGTAGATAAACGACCAAATTCAATAGAATTTAACGGAATATTTGAAACCTTCAACTAAAATCGAAAAGTATATTATCTACTGCTGATGGCATAGTTCGAAAATTTCAGATAACAATTTGGTGAATAAATATCCTTGTAATTCGTTTTTTAAGTATTTCTAACGGCTAAAATCTTGAAGGTTCGGTAGTAGAAAATAATTTGCAGCAAAAAAAGCTTCAACGATATTTACCTTTGGTTAAAGGTTCATCTTTAACGACTCTGGTATAATTTCAGAGGAATTAATCTTTGAAAATAAATTTGTTTTTATTAACGTTAAGTAACCTAACAAATACTTCATACCTTTGCCCTAAACTGGTTTAATTAATTTAGGTTTGAATTTAACCAATTTCGTCATAGGGTATCGTCATATAATTAAAACATTTATAACCCTGATAAATCATCATAGAAAATAGCTGAAAGCCTATCTAACGAATTGGAAAGTAATTCTAACTTTGGAGGCAAAGTTTATGGATGCGAGTTGTATCAAAAAAAAAAAAAACTAATAAAAGTCGCATCGGACTTTGGAAGTGAATGTGTAATACATTTTCTAATAAGCATTTTCCAAGAAATTTGGTCATTTTATTATTATTTTGCAAGATAAATTTTACATTAGTTCTCTTTTTTATTTTATAATTGCAAAAGCTATGGAACAAATACTATGGTTACGATACAAACCTATGTCATAAAGTTTAATTTTTAACTAATTTGTTATCTATATATAAAAATTGCAAAAAAAAAATTCTTGCTACGTCATAATTAATACGTCAATGATGTCATGTAGGGGTGCGCTGTCAACTAATTAAATCAAATATATGTATAAGTCTCCATAGGATTTACTATTTTTTTGTTATTAAGGGTATAAAAAATAGACTTTTATATAAAGTTTCCTAATAAAATAGATCACATTTTCCAACCTCCATAACTCTAAATTATTTACAATTTCGCGAAAACATTCCAAATTCCAACTCTTTCATGTAACAACTTTCTTTTTTTTTCTAAAGAATAATACGTTTTGAACAACCTTACTGCCGCTTCAAAGTGTTTCTCAACAATAAAAAAATATTTTTTCTCCGTTGTTTTCACCACAATGTCATGTGGAATCAATTTATAATAAACACTTTGAATTTTAATCTTCTCGTTGCTAACATTTATACAAAATGTACTCGTAAATTCTTTATAATAAAGTCATCTTTATTCTCGAGTCCTTTTTTTTTTTTTTGCAGGCAAAACAGTAACGAGAAAAAAAATGATAATGTTACGCCAATCTATTTAAACCTGAGTAATCCACCTAAACCTAAAATAACACGACAAACATACAAACGAAGCTAAAGGTAAAATGTTTCCAAATATTTTTTTTTGTTTTCTTAATTATTGGACTAGAAAACATTTTTAGAAAAACAAAAATTCAATCGCTAAACTGACGTTTTAAATTGTTAGGAGATCTTTAAAAAGATTTTTCACATTATTTATTAACAGGTCAAAGGATAATTTCATTAATGAAAAAAAATTTTATACTTTTTAAACTTATAAAAATACAACTAAAATTAATTAAGATATTTCAGAATTTCCAGGATGCTTTCAAATCGTACATAAAGATAACGATAATAGTTGTGTTATTTTGGAAGATCGATAAGATCTGCAAGGGTAAAAAGCTTTTAAATTTTTATTTTCTGGGAAGATTACAAGAATTATCATTTTTCAGAAAATAAGTAATAAAATTAATTATGTTACCTTTGCCATTATAATAAAAACATTATAAATTAAAATTAAAAGATAATTTGGGAAAAAGAAAGTTGATGTAAAGTGGCTTAATTTTAGCAAAGTTAAACTATTGCAAAATATAATTTCGCAAAATTTAGTAAAGTGCATCTCCTTCAATTTAGATAAAAGAATTTGTTTATAGAAAAGAAATAATTTATAATAATCATAAAATGTACTTCTGAATTTCCAAATAACAGTTAATTATTATCTTCGCTCTCAAACTTTCTTAATTAAATGATTTTCAACTTTTTTTTAAAAAAATTTTGATTTAATCCACAGATTTTCCTTTTATGACATTTCCAAAATATTGATGATAAATAAGCATATTATTATATTATGAATATGATTTTAAAAAAGCTAATAGAAATGTACGAGACATTTTCATTATAGATGTCTATGAAATGACATATTAGGTGAAATTATTGACTATCACTCGATCACAACTCAACTGTACATCTTAAAGCATTTTTAGCTTTATATTTCTTACATCTTTTCTTTTTTATTCTCTCCTAAATAAGGAGAATATATGTTCGCTCAATGGGTATACACTTTCTTTTAGCAGCAGCGTAGGAATACCTCTAGAGGAGATATCAAAGAATCTGAATCTAAGTAACGGATCGAGCGAGACTCATCTTCCGAATGTAATAACTCGAAGTAATCAGTGCATCAGAATTCCTATTGCAGGACAATTGTCTCGATGAAGTAACCTGTAACACTTCAAATAACAATTTCTTTATGGTGGGTTAACAGGATTGTGTGCAAGGAAAATTTGTGATGACCATCTTACCGGGGATGTTCCAACTATCATGTATCGTGTATTGGTACAAAATATGGAGCAATAATGATGCATGCAGTGAAAGCACCTGTTCAAAAAATGGTGAAAATGAAGCTGATGATGAAACTATTGTTCGGAATGATAGTATATTTAAGGTGATTGATACAGGTAAATGTGCTTAATGATAATAACCACTTGTTTTTGCCCTTAATTACAACACAATATTCACGAATTATAAATGTGGAGAACGTGTCAAATTCAGTTTTAAAACTGGTACCGTACAAGTAATATCGTATCGTAACAGCTTATGTTGCTGCTTGGAAACTTATTTCAAAATAAAAAATAAAAGTAAATCTTCTTTATTGATTATTTGAACTATCTCTATGCTAATTAAATTTTAATTTGTTTACATAAATCTTCTAAAGTCCATTTAATATATTTCAAGTGTATCGAAAAAAAAATGCAATAATTCATCGGATTTCATAGAAAAAATTTATGGCTTTACAAGGTTTTAAAAAATTTTATATCGATCAGCAATCTCGTGACTTTCGACTTTTCGACTTGCGATAAATAATACTAGCCCCAAAATTTTCATTTTAATAATAATTTGTTCCCTCCCTTTAGCTATGGTTCCTGACGTGCAAAAAAAAGTTCGTTAAGACTCACATATATGCATCAAAAATTTACTCTTTTGCATGTATTCATGTTTGTTCATAACGTTTGACCTAACAATAGTTCACATGCGTGAACTGTGGTCATAAATAATCTTCTTTTCAATAAAAATTTTAATAAACCATATAATTTTATTTGGTCTAGTAAAATAAATTTTTTGTTATCGAAAAATATTTATCTATTTTCTTAATAATTGAGACTTTCACAAAAAATTTAAAAAATTTGAAAATAAAATTTATTTATATTTATATTTATTACATTAACATGTCGGTGGTAAAACTAACTGTGGAATAACTATCGATGAAAATTATGGAGAGAGAACAATCCTGTCAGTAAACGTCTCTATAGTGAAACGGATATCAGTGAGATAAATGTTGGTAGTCTCAAAAACGTTGAACTGGGTTCTTCGTGGAGCATTCTGGTCATCTCAGCGAAACGTTACATTGACAATGAAAATCTCATTTTATTTGTTTTTAATAAACAAAAGAATTTAAGTCTTGAATTTTGTCATAATACTTTGTAAGCTTACTTTGGTTACTTTAATTAATAAAACAAATAAATAAAATATAGAACTGCGATTGATTTGTAATTGAACGTGTTCTTGAAAAGCTATTGCATAAATGCCGTTTAAATTTATATAATAACATATAAATATAAGTCAGCGAAATGTCTTTCGGCAAAAAGGTATCGGTTAAAGGTCGTACCGTAACCATTAAAATCCATCTAATAAGTAAATCAAAATCATTAAATTTGTTTTAAGAGATAATATTTATATAATCGAATCATTACCGTCAGGAATTTCCATTTCATCCTGTTCTTCCGAATGAAGATTTGAATTATTATATGATTCATTCTCTCCATCTATAAAATAAAGGATTAAAATATGAATATGAATTTATTATTATGAATTTAAAATGATTCTACTAACCGTCAATTTCAATATTATATTTCTTTTTATGCGGTGCTTTCCCTTTATATTAAAACTTTCTATTAAATATCGAAAAAATAGCTTAAAGTATAAAATTCTATTTACCATAAATTGAATTTATTCGTAATTTTTTAGATATTTCGGATAATTTTTTACTACTGTCTAATTGTTAAAAAAAAAATTTAAATGATTATTTTTTTTAAAATATTAAATATCAATATTTACTTACCTTTAAAAAGACTGATTGTTTTGGATGAGGTTTTATCACTTAATTCAAAATCATCAACTAAAATTATAAATAGTTAATAAAATATTACAAAATAACCTAAAATATCAATACTCACTTTTATCAGGAATTTTAAAGTCGTATGGTTTACTATGAAATGCTTTTATGATGAAATAACATTATTAAACCTAGTCTGTAAAAAAATTATTTGAAATATTATTAAAACCGAAAAAAAAATACCTTCTTGATCTTTTGTTTTTATTAAATAAGAATAAAATATAAGTTATCGTTATATATTCATAAAAATTATTTGTTAAAAATTTTACCTTCTGTTGCATTCCTTGGTTCAGGAAAATTTTCAAATTCATAAATTTTACTTGTGAATAATTTGCTGCTGCTTGTATAATTTATATTTAGGTTATGAACTTCTGTATTATAGTTTGATTTTTGTTGAGATAAATTAATTTTCTTTAAGAATTTTTTAATAATACTTTTCTTTTCATCATTTGATTCATAATATAATTTATTCATTTCAAATATTTTATTCCAAATTACGTCAATATTGGGTCTTTGTGATGGATCAGCATTCCAACATTGTTCTATCAAGTCTTTATATTCTAAAGGAATACCTGATGCTAATTTTGGTCTCATTCCATTTACAATATACATTGCGAGTTCATAATCCTTTTCAATATCATTAAATGGTGGTATTCCGGATGAAATTTCCCACATAAGCATTGCAAGACTATAAACATCAGATGCTTTGGTATATTCCTTTCCAGCAATAACTTCGGGAGCTATATAAGGAAGGTTGCCATAAATGCATTTTAATGGCTTATCAGCAGGACCAGAAAATCCAAGATCACTAATATACCAGTAATCTAATTGTGAATTTAATATATTTCCAGAATGCAAATCCCTATGAATCGCATCTTCCCAATGAATTTTTCTAAGTGCATTGATGATTTGAAAAGTAGTTTTTATTTTTTCTTTCCATGTAAGTTGTTGATGATTTTGTAGATAATTTCTTAAATCTGTGTCCATTTCATCCATTACAAGAAAATATTCTTTACTAGATGGATCTTGAGTTAAACCATAACAGTAAACAATTTCATTCCATTTTCTACTTAGCGTTAAATGTGATTCTGCCTATATAAAATATAAAAATTTATGGTTATATAAGGATTAAACAATTAGAAATAATGATTAAAAAAATATATACCTCTTCAAACCAACTTCTATTAGCACTTTCAACATTTTTTAACTTTTTAAGGATCGCGTTACATATTCCATATCTTTTTAATTCTCTTCTTTTAACATCCCATTGATAATAACGTCCCTCAACCCATTTTGCAGAATAAATTTCAGAGCACCCGCCTTTAGTCAAATATTTAATATCCTGTAAATTATTGTATGGTATCCATTCAACTACTTTACCTGGATTATTAGTTTCAATTTGACATTTCCGTACTAAATTATCGATATTTTCATTATCTGACGTCCAATTTGAAAATTTTTCTTTCAAATAGTTTCGAATGCAATTTTCACAATATGTCGTTGCCAAACATTCTTGTTTGCAATATTCACATAATCTTTTTTCTCCTACATTAAAAATGACTTTATTTTGATCATGCATTTCATTCAATAACCATATCGCTTCTGATTTTTCGTCTTTTGTAAGAAATTTATCAGCAAGAACTATTTTCTTTCTAGATTCATGTCTTTTGTCCAAATCATTATCAATAACAGTTTCTATTAATGCAGATGATTTATGTATCGCGACAAAAACTAAATCATAACGAATAGTAGCCATAAATTATATATTTATATTGAAAATTTTATTTCAAACTAATATTATTGAAAGAGAATTGCAACTTATGATCGCTGTCCTTTTGTCTATATTTCATTTTACATATTCTGTGAAACAAATAGATCGGAATCCTTGCATAAACACAAATAACGTGGCGCAGTATATTTGAGTTATGAGTCCAATAATTGGTTTCTCCGGAACCACTATATAAGTGTCTCCCGATGTCTCCCGCTATAATTGAGTCGATGCTGATTGGCTTTTGTAATTATACTAATGTAAATTTTTTTAGTTAATATCGTTCCGGACTTAACCGTTCCCTAGTATAATATTTATTTACGAGTTAAAATACAGTATATTAGGCTCCGTTATAATGAATTTACTGCAAACATTTAAAAAGAAGTGATTTATTTTCAAGAATACTAGCTACAAATTAGAGGTTGGAACCGGTTATAACAATTCGGTTTTAAATTCGGGTCTAACCGGTTTTGAATAAATCCGGTTCCAAATTTTAGAGCGACGCAAAACCGGTTGCGATACAAACCGAATGCAACCGGTTGGAAGATCCGGTTTTCGATTTACCAAAAATAATTTAAGGTTATAAAAAAAATCCATATTTAGTCTCGCACGAGCTTTTCCCATACAATCTTTTGGTACTCTTTTTCTTTTAGCATGTTTATTTCTCATTATGGCGAACCCTCAGTTATACTTTCTGATACAGAAACTATTACAGAACTTACAACTACCGATATCACAAGCACAAAAGTAGTACAAAAAACGAAGAATAGAATTAAATTACCTCTTCGTCATTCAATCCAATAATTTTTTTATATTATGCTTATCACGCAAATGTGTTATAGTAGTATTTCCACCTTATCGGTTATAGTCATATGCAGCTTTATTTGTTCCTGCAAATTCATTTCACAAATTTTGCAATAAGCAATGTTAGGGTTTTCTTTTTCGATCCGAAAGAAAATGCTGTATGACCGCGGTTAGTTCTAATTAAGGATGAACGAATTTGATCATCGATATGCTTAAATAATATCAAAGTTAATTTATCTAAAATCGTAAAAAATTTAAAATTGATTTGATTCAACCCGGTTCTTTAAACCGGTTTGATTCGGCCGAGCACTCGAATTGACCCGGTTATCGATAAACCGGGTCAAATTTTTTGAAAATATTTAAAACCGGTTTTCGGAAATAGAACCGGTTCCAACCTCTACACCAGCTTCATTTGATCCGTGTAATATATACCAATTATTATCTATGTAGATAAATTAATGAAGACTTCAAAATTTTGATTCTCATTTGTTTTATATTTTTGGAGTTAATCCACGGCTTATAACTGTTATAACTCCAGCAGCCATTGCAAGCTTGCATTTACAGATTTGCTCTTATTTTTTATTTTTCAATGGACTTCTAGACTACGAAACCCAATTTAAAAGTTAAATTAAATAAAAAATGAATTCATACATTTTTCTTTAATGTTTTTAATGTTCCTATATCTTCAAATAATTAACAAGTCGTGAGATACAATCAAAGTATGAACAATTTTTTTGAATTTATCATACCAGCTAATGAGATATCATTATCTGTCGAGTTTTTTTATTAAAAATATAATATGAGAAGGAATTGGAATAAAATAATCAATTTAAATTCGGAACAATTTTTCAAACAATTTATGCTCACAGAAATCACATTTTCATTATAATTAGAAAAATAATATAATTATAGGCGATAAATAATTAGTCAATCAAATATAATAAAATTTTCTGCAGAGTCAATCAATTGCTTCGATCGGTTTGACCATATATAACCTCTTAAATTATTTTTATACTCATTTTATTGATGAAATTAGATAATTTTTGGTAGACCGCAAAAAGTGAAAATAGAAATCAATTTCAAAGTGCTTGAGAAATCAAAATAATTAATAGTTATTCAGCACGAACTATTATATTGGGTAAATCAAATTTGATTGGTTAGCCGGATAAGTAATTCTCAAGTTTCATTCTAAGATTCGATTTTCGGTTTCGATTATTACAATAAAAAACAAAATTTTTTTATTCAATGTTAAAATTCATTCTTTATTGGTGTTAGCATTTTTTTTTTTTTTCAAAAAATTTTTTTTTGTAATTACTTTCGAGCAATCAATTTTTTTTTAATTATATACAGTGGCGGTCAAAAGAATTGCATCACCTGAATGCAAATCTTAAAATTGCAATTTCTTGAGATTAAGAAA